ACAGCATTTATATTGGGCCTATCAGTCAGGCAGCAGTTGAGATTATAACCTGAAACGACATAGAACAACCGGTCCAATTTTTGAGTGGTGACCGAAGAATTTTGGCTATGTTAATCAAGGTGTTAGCTGGCATATATGAATCAAATAAATCCCATCTAACTGGTCTGATATGCTGACTGTCCCAATTCTCAAGGAAGGAAAGAAATTCTGTATGAGAAAAATAATATCCCACGTCTTAGGTTTTATTATACACCACGGTGAAACTCAGGGAAGATAAACTTGAGGAAACCAGACAGGTTTCAAACCTGGTTTATGTGTTACGGCCAGATATTCACCCTCCACCGGGTCTTAGAACACTGGTTTACTTACTGGCCCCTGATACCAACTGTACTTCTTGACATAAAAGCAACATTCGGTACATTGACTAAGAGGTATTATGTCAGTCTCTGGCCAAAATGGCTGCCATTTTAGTACGCTACTTTTTGATAGCTCCATGTTTGAACATCCGTTTTATTCGAGCCTATAGTGAGGCATCAGGTGAATTTGGCGCATTGAGTGGCATCCATCAAGGATGTGCACTCTCTCCATCCGCATCTAATTTTGCCGTGCAATTATAGAGGCCCACCTTTCCTTGTCTGATTTTGTGACTGTATCACAAGAGACTCCTTAGTGGGCGCGGATTATGCAGCTGATGTAGTCGTTCAAAGTTAAGACGTTGAAAGGACGCAGTCTTCGACGAACCTTGAGGGATATCTTGTGAAGAGGTGAGATGCGCTTCTGACCACCGGAATGCAAACTGTCACAGAACTGGTCTGCATTGATACCTCATCTAACAAAAGGGAGTGAAGTGGTAGATCGGATTATCTATCTCGTTAGGGAAGTCTGATCAGCTCTAACTGGTCAGAAACTAGCAAAATCTTTGCATGGTTACAGTGGGCTCGATTGCCTTTTGCTAACTTACTCTACTTGTGGTGCCTACGAAATATCTGATTGCCTACTATGAGCAGAGTGTACTTTGCAGCAGCTCGCTCTCTTTTACTATAAGGCCATGGAACTACCACATTATTTATGCAGAGGTTTGGTGTAGTGTCTTAGGTCGGTGAAATTGCGACTCTTCATCGACTCAGGTGACGGAGACATGTGTTACGCATGCTTGATCACCGTGCGCCCCGTCGTGCAATGTTAGCCGAAGTGTTTTAGGTTGGATGAAAGTTGAAGAAGGTTGTAGGTAAACACGACATCAGTTCATGAAGTTTTTGACTTTCAGTCTGTGTAGGGAAATGTAGACTTTTCGGTCGGAGTTAGTATGAAAGCCGTACTCAGTGTTTGGAGACTTGGGGTGACGCGATTAAAAGTTGATCTCGGTGGCCCAGATGCAACCACACATCATCTTAGTCGTCTGATAGCATTCCCTTTATTTGTTTAACCTCTTCTTCTAATGAATTTCTAAACTTCCTAATAACTTTTTTTCTGTCTGTCATTTTGCTGCATTGTAACCTGCTATGCTAATGTGAAGTGAGGCAGTTTGGACTGCTAATCGGTAATACCCAGACCCCATGCTGATACTAACAAACTGACTGTTTACATTATCAGATTGATTAAAAAGCCGATAAGCGATTAGTCGCGAATGATGTATTTATATCAAGTTAGAAAGAAACACAAGATGATTAGAAAAGATGGTCAAAACAATACTTTGTCCTCATTTCATGTAAAGTTTCGTAAATCATACGAGTAAATATCACATAGAAAGCACTTGACAACATGTCTAGATTAGTGGATATCATCATTCTGCATCTAGTGTTCTATGGAAAGATGATGTTACTGCATAACGATAATGTTTGATTCATATGCTTTTCTTATTCAGTGTGTAGCATAATCTACATTGCCTGATGTAGCACTTATTTAAATCGCTGGTGCAACTCAATGACTGTACATTTTTCTGTACTAGGCCATTCAGTTGCGTCTGTTGTGTGAAGACAAGTCTTGTAGTATTCGATTATCCTTGACTTTTCACACTGGATGCGTTTACTGTTGAACAATGCCTGCGCCAATGTACAACACTAGTTGGGAACCATGTGTAAATAAGATTTATAAAAATAGGGAAGTTCGCCAACATTGGCTCTTTATTATCATTCAAACATTCCATGATTCTCTAGACAATAAGTCATGCATTATAATGCATAAATTTAGTGCATGCACTGGCTTTTATGGTAAATGTTAACTTTCTCCCTTCGCTTTATCTTATTGACCGAGATTTATATAGTGTACAAACACTGAGATTATTAAAAAACTTGAAATCAAATTACACTATTGTCTACCTGATTTCCAATGTCGATAAAACCCATCCATCCACACATATTGCCCTAAATTGTCTATAATTGTAAATTAGCTTCTAGTAGTACAAAGGTATTCAAATTTATTTCTCATTTAATGATCAGAAGAAGTCTAATAATTAGATATATGACATCCATGGTTATACGACACCTAAACGAAACTCGGGAACAGCAAACACAAGAAACCCAAGTAGGTTTCAGTCCTAGACGAGAGTGCATCGCCTAGATCTTCACCCTTTGATGAGTTCTAGAACACAAAAATCATTGCTGACACCTGACATTTTCGTATTCCTTGACCTAAAGCCGGCATTCGACTCTGTCGACCGAGAGGTGTTGTAGCAGTGTCCGCTTGTAAAGGAAGTACTGGACAAGTGTGTAGTGTGAATGGAAACCTTCTGCTCGAACTCACGCAGGTGTATAAGGGCTTACAGAGAGTTGTCGCATGAATAGTGGAATTATTGTGTTAGCAATGTTGAGGGTGAGCAAAGGGTTATAAACAAGGCAGACTAGTCAGTCGATTTGGGTGACTGGGAAATTTGTGTGCGTGCAACCGCCTATGTCAAAGTGCAGTTGGTTTGGATTAAGGCTCATGAAGTCTTTGACTGTTAAACTCTGAACTGTGTAGCAAGGTACAGACTGTCTGACTGGATTCCTCAAGATAGGAGTTGTTGGTTGAAGACTTGGTAAAATGTCTGAAAATTGGTTACTTTTGCGTAGGTGCATACTCTTTTTGACATTTCCGAAAGTTCGAACATTTTCTCTAAGCTTCGTGTTATTGCAAAAACCCATGCTCCCCAGCCGCATACATGCTCTTATCTACTTTCATATTAATGCTTTCCTACCAACATGTTCATCGCATGCTACTATGAAGTGTGGCAACTTGAACCGATATGAGGTTCTATATTAATTTTGTTTACCTGTCACTGTATACTTGAGGTCACAACGCTAGCTGGAGCAGAATCATGGTCAGGGATAATTAGCCAAAAATACGACAGCTGTTCGTGTCGCCACTAGATGTTGTTTCCAGTCACATAGGCTGTATGCTTGTGGTCCACCTTGTCTTAGTAATCACATTTCTGATACGAGTAACAATCGATTACAATTGCTCTGATGCACTCACTTCTTACATTCCTCAAAATTTCGAGTTGTTTTCTGTTCACTGAGATTCTTTTTATTTGTTGAGATGAGTTTCTCCTCTTTTAGTTTACTTTAGCTACACATTTGTTTTCTAGCAGTTTGTAATATGGTTTTCTACACTAATCTATTTATTCATTAACAAGAACAAGGCATGTATCAGCGAAGAAATATTTCTTTCGTTGAAAAGAAATATTTCTCCGCTGATACATGACTTGTTCTTGTTAACTAATCTATTTGTCTACTTTGATAAACATTTTAGCATTACATAGTCTGGCATCAGTAAGAAGGCATTTTGTTTACATCTTAATTATTTTGAAGTACAGTAATGTAAGAGAAACGGTTAAATGCAATCACTTCTTGACTTATTTTGTAATTCGCGTTTGTCCTAATGAAGGTTGATTGCTGATCAAATCTTGTACCGTCTCTTGAGCTGATGAGTTATTCGACTGCTGATCAAAAGGTGAGTGTACAGTCCACATAACGGTTGCCAATAGATGTTGTACTGCAAATGTTTGATCATACGCGTTTTCGTAGCATTGCGTGCATGCTGTAGAAATGCGAATTGAGCAATTTTGAAGTGAAAACAGTTGGGTATATTCTATGTCTAACATGGCTAGGATGTATGTTAATCGCGCCAACCTGACATCTGCATCGATGACTAATGTTACCTAAAGTTGGGTTAAGCTCAGAGAAAGCTAAACGTGACCATGATAATACAGCTCACCAATTTATGAAGCCTCTAACTGTTGTTCTGAATTGTCTAGAGGAGTGTTTACCACTTGGTGAGAGCCATTGAAGTAACCATTGAAAGAAATAAGAAGACACGTATGAAGGAAGGAATGTTTATTGTCAACAAGTGGGATAGTAGTCGTTATGGCACTAAAACCGTCATTTGCAAAATATGCTTCATTTCCTCTTCTGCTTCTTTCTTGATTTGCTCTTCATACACCTGCCTTGTCTCTTGCATTTCTCTTGGCGGAATCCTTACCCATTGCTGGTAATTCCCTATGGTTTCTGCCACCCTCTCAACATATACTACTTACATACATTCTTATCAGCAACGCCCACTACACTATGAATCAATGGTTGAACACTTTTGGGTACACAACTTGAGATCGTTCACAGTGGTACGAAATTATTCACAATTTATCGTCAAAATTCTAAACCTATGTTCTTTACCTCCTATCTTTTCATGTACTTTTATGTCATTTTATTTTTGTACACCTGTTCTCTATGTGGTATTGTAAATTGAACAGATGCAATTCTGTGGACTTCTCTACCTTGATGTCTTTTTTTGTCAAGCCATAACCTAATAACTATGACTGATATAATTAGTTGTAAACCGATGATATCAGTACCGCTCTCTAGTGACGAGAAATTTCACAATTGGGTTGAATCTAGTTGATTCCTTCTCATCATGGACAGAGAACCTTGCCGATACTAACTGACTTTGACTATGACATGATAACTTCACATATTTCCATTTTCATACAAAACTGATAATCTTTATTATTTTATGCTGGTGTTTAGAGTTCATCTAGTACGAACACCTGGTAAACAATTTGGTCTGCACATCCGTACTGGTGCAATTCAATATTACACTAAAAATGGATATGAAACGGTTCCAGCATTTTTCATATCACGTTTAACCGAGGATGGAATAGCACATAACACTGGACTATTGGCAGTAAATGATGAGATAATTGAAGTGAATGGTATTGAAGTGTACGGGAAATCACTGGATCAAGTAAATGATATGATGGTTGCAAATAGCTCAAATCTTATCATTACTATTCGACCAGCTGATCAGAGTATGTGTTTACCTCCTCGAGAAATTTCACGTTCTCGTTTCTCTCAAAATTCTGACCTACTATATGGTCCACGAAAGAATATATCACAAGTGGAACGGAATACATCTTTGGCAACTTACTCCCAATCCTCATCAAAATATATTCCGCCTTCATCATCCCGTTTATTTGCTACAAATACTCTATCCACTGTTGATACTCAATTATCATCCAGAGGTGCTTTACACAATGGTGGTGATGTTGGTGACTCAACAATTCAAGTCAATGAAGAGGTTGAAAGTGATGATGATATGAATGTTGGTTTAATCACAATCTAGTTTTTCAGTAATTGACTAGTTTATTTATTTATCTACTCAGTTTGATAACAGCATTCCTAATTGTTGTTTTTTTTAACTTGACTTCTTTCGATATATTTTCGTTTCAGCCGATTATTTTTTGTTAGTTGTAAGAGTGATGGGTTTTTTGAACATATCCCTTGACTACTCTTTGCTCTTAACTTTCTATTTAAAGCTTTTTTTTTATGAAAACCAATGGTGAACTGTGTTTTCAGCCTTTTTTTTATAGATAAGTGAAGTATATTTATATATTTTATAGCACCAGAAAAACATTCCACATATGCACACTAAATGTCAATTTTTTGTAATACTAAGGCACCGAGTTCTTCATGCATCTGTTTAACATTCCAAAAAAGAGATTTCGTTTCGTTGGCATTCTTATTGATCCCGTGTTATGTGAAAAATAATGACTTGAAAGACGAGAAGGATTTTCTTTTCTGTATTTTTAAATGCGTTTATCTTAATTTATTATTTTTCTTTCTCTCTACCATCGGTTTATACAGGTGGAAATTACTTAATGCCCTACCCCGATATTTGTTTTTTTTACTTACTTTCATATTTTGCCGGTTGTTATTCGCTACTTCTACTATAATTGCCATTATAATTATCATTATGTTTACTGTATTTTCCTAATTATGCATATCAATATGCTCACTGGCACTATTTCTGCATCAAGCCATTCTTTTCTTGCTGTATTCACTATTCCTTTTTTTTTTCTACAAAAGCAAAGCAGCGTAATCTACACAATTTTAGCTGTTAAGAATAATTTGTATTCATATTAAACCTATTTAATGAGTACTCTGCATTTATTAACAATTTCTCGTAGGATGATGTGATGCGTTTTTTGCAACCATATTGTTGGTGTTCTATTCAAGCTTTTGAATCCCTAAACCGGTGGTAAGGTTGCTGAGGACGAGAACTTATGATTCCGGACTCAATTTTGGCAAGACTAGAGATTGTAGTGCAGTATTAAGAAGAGTAAAATTAGAGTTGTATTTTCTCCGTTTAGCTTTAATCAGTGTGATGAATGCAGTTGAACGAAAGCATGGTTGTGGTAAGATTCCAGTCAGCACCCTTTGAGTTAGAATCCCGAAGGTGCTGAAAGGTCTGATCTATAATGCACCTTTGTTGGCCATATTTCAGTTTCACTCGGGTTGCTGAGAATTTTGTCTGAGCGTTTCCTGCTGCCTTGACATGGTGAATGGGGTTGCATATTGCCATGACCCGATGAGCTATACTGGTGGAACGCTTTTCCTTTCGAGGCTTTACCATATTGATAAGATGAAAAGCGATTACCATTGCAGTGAAAATTACTACACCATGTTGGGGGTCAGAGAGTGAAGTCGTTCTGATGCTAGTTGGATGGAGTGTGATAGAAGTAAGGTATTTCCCTTGGATGACCAGCAGAACCACTCTGATACTGCCCTCCCTACGGGAAGGGGAAAAATCGACACCATAAACAGCACACTCGAGAAGTTTCCCCCTTGGTCTTCCGGTGCCGGTGGTAGGGTCTTTCTCTATCCGGCGTTAGAAAAACCAAACCTCATAACTCGCAAAAGGCCGTGTTTGGTAGGCCTCAAGCAGATGTCCCATGGGCTCTGTGGTTACAGAAATCGTTTTCTCTTCCAGATACCTTTGTATGAAATAGCCTTCCACAGCGTGCGAAACTGGTAAGTATCAACGGCCTGTATTTATCTGGATATGACAACAATGCTCATCCTGAGGAAACCTGGCTTGATATTGAGTCTGCTGTAGAGACAATGGCAAAGACAGTTGGCAACCCACACCCGGAGGTTACCAAACGTTAGTGGATTTTCGCAACGTCGTCCGAACCGACTGGTTCGAGAAGACTGGTTCTAACTGTCTTTGACCACAATGAAGAGCAAAGACAATGTAACCGTAAGTTTACCAAGAGTCTCCGTAATGATCGCAAGCAGTGGTGCGTGGCGAGAGAGAGATGCAGAAGACAGCTACTTAAATTTGTTAAGGATACCGGAAAGAATAAGACGATGGTTAGTGAAACTATCACCGAAAAGGATGGGACACTGACAGCCTCTAAGAACAGACGGCTACAACGTTGCACCAGTCGATGAAGTCTTACTGTTGGTTTGAGTCGTGTGGGGAGATCTAGACTACCTGGTTAGGGTCCCCAAGACCATGTATAGTGGTGGGCAGATGAGACTAAAGATAAGAAAAATTCTGCAACAACAGGTTATAGTAGTCAGTTGTTCAGACTGGTCAGAAGTTCTGGGAATAAAGTCAGTGGTTAGTGAGACTATAGTAGGAACGGTTTTGTATGCAATTTACTCACAAATAAGGCTGCTGGATTGCTGTATAGACCACTTTCAGAAACAGTGCAACTGGCCTTCTGCTAGCCTTTGATTGCCCACTATCTAGTGAGGTTTTGATTTCAAAACTGACATAGGGTACCCAACACTTGAAGGTGTTGTAGATGAGCTGAAAGAAGCAAGTTCAGATAGGCTTACTTATTTATGGATAACAGCGGAGAGTTATTGTCCAGAATGTTGGAATTGTTAGCTGATGTGCGGAAATTAGATTTGATTATCTCTGATTGGGTCAGTCATAGATTGTCCACGTCTTTGTGAAAGGACAACACTCCTATGATTGCAACAGGAGAATCAGTCTGACGAACATAGTTTCTGAGATCCTGCAGTCTATATACATTCAACGCCTAAATGCGTCTTGAAAGCAACAAACCGGAAAAATCAGGCAGGTTTCACCCTCTGATAGTTTGTGGGTCACTTATCGGCTCATGACACTAGCTATATCTCTTAACCTGACAGGGATGTTCGATTTCATCGATTGAGGGGTCTCATGCGAGTGTCTTTCACCGAAATGGGCCCCACGTAGGTGCATCACCTAGTGACAGTATCTCTACTCCAACACTCGTAAGCGTGTCATAGCCAACGATTAGTTGTGTACAGCGAAGGGTGTCCGTCGAGAATGTCCTCTATCATAGACTTACTTATTGAGGTCTCTTTCCCGTTGTTTGAGTCTGCAGGGATTGGTCGTATCACAGGATACGCTTTTGTACACCTAGAGTACGCAGATGACTTAGACCTGTTGGGTGAAGACGCTGATAAGATGCAGTCCTGTACAACAGAAGTGGCAATTGCTTCAGGCACGGTCATCTACACACAAATTCCCCTTTATGAACTTAAATAGAGAAAGATGAACGATTGGAGCAGAATAACATGTCACCATTTTATTCCGCTAGTCGAAATGGTTAAGTGGTCATGTGCGTTGACAAACTTTCCTATGAAGTGGGTCAATGAAATGAAATGTCCTCACGGATCCAAAAGGTCCGATTGACTTCCGTCAACGTACGCCATTTATGATGCCAACTTGATTTCCGATTGTCTATAAAGGGTCAAGTGTACTCCATTGCAGTTCATTTTGTTCTACTGTATGGCTGCGAAACATTGCCATTAAAGGTAGAGGACTTTTTGAAGTTTCAGGTCTTTTACCACCGTTGTCTTCTTAACATAGACGGTGCATCGTGGCCTCACAACATGAAGAATGTAGAAGTCGGGTGTCGGGATTTAAGGATGAAAGAAAATTCAGTTGATGAGATTGTGAACCTTCATTGACTGAATTTTTGGGGGCATTTATTCTGCATGCCTAGTCACTGTCTGCCCAATGTTGACTGAAGTAGGCTTACACTAGAAAAAGGTTGCAGGTGGCCAGACTAAACATGACATCAGGTTATCAAGTCTTCGAATTTCGGTCCGAACCGTGTAGGGAGGTATAGACTTCATGATTGGTGTCTATCTGACAACCAGAATCGGTTGTTTGGGTCTAGATTATATGACTCAAAGTCGATGTTAGGGTTTCAAATGTAGTCACATGTTAGCTTCACCTTAATTGTCACGCCGGATTTCATCATTGTTCATTTCCTCCTTCTTCCTTTCGCTCTTTACGATTTACCGCTTTTTTATTTTCCACCTTATTATTTATCTTTCGTCTCGGTATCGTCTGAGGTGAGGTGTGGCAACTAGTACTGTTAAGTGGTAATTCCAGGTCTAATGTTGATACTTCTGACTGACTGATTATTTACTTTGTATTTGGATAAACTAAGTAACTATTAAATCAATATTTCTCTAATATACTGGATACGTTTTAGACTTCGTATTGATTTTAATACCGCTTAACCAACCAAAAATTCAAAACGGTACAACTCAACACAGTATAGGTGTTTATGAACGAGTATATGATGCGCACTTATTTTGCTAGGGCTTTTCACAGTGACGGGTTGCCTGAGCTGAAGAAAGGTGGAAGTGAATCCGAGTCTGTGATCCACTGCTTGAAGCACGAATGCTTATGCTAATAAGTTATTTCTCCATTGTTTGGCTGGAAAACAATTTTGTTGTCTGTAACGGATTAATGAAGTTTATCAGAAGACGCCTTTGCTGACGAGTGCCTCAAGTACGAAACCCAGATAAAGGAGAGCTCTCTACTGTTTCATTACCAACATCTAACGCCAGAATGTGACTTCAACTAGAAAGTCGCTACAGGTAGTCTAAGAGTAGCGAAGAACGATTTCATTCTACCTTCGCATCAACGCTGCACTTATTCAAATGAGGATAGTGTTTTTATGAATATATGGTATATGTGTATTGAGTTGTTTTTGAAAGTTATCAGTAGATATCTGTACTCTCTTCCAACCATGATTTGCCATACTGTTCATGGTTCTTTATTGTGATAAGAATATTTAGGAATATATGTCCAAATAATTTACTCATGGTGTCCATTTCACTTTTTACAATTACAAATAATAATTCATAGCACTGTCTGTCTTCATTTTTTGAGACTTCTATTACATTATTTTCCTAATAATTTTTCCTATGACCTGTAACCTCACAAGAAATGGTAACAAGCACTTAAAAGAGAAGAGAGAGTAACGATTTTGCAGCACTTTTTCCTTCGTTTAGTATTATTACGCTGACTAACGACGGTGTCAT